CCCGGGCACGCGCACGGTGCGCGCGCCGGGCCGGCGCCGCTGCAGGGCGGGGGCGGGGCGGGCGCGCTGCGGCTCCGCCCTCAGTTCTCTGCCTGGCTGCCCCGGGCGGTGCGGTGCCGGGGCGGCCGGCCGCAGGCACTGCGGGGCTGCGGGACGTGCGGGGGCTGAGGGGACTGCGGAGGCGACGGGGTTCTGCGAGACCCGTTTTCCTCCGGGCTCGGGTCCCCAGACCCGTTCGAGGAAAACGAGTGGCTCCTGCTAGTTAAGGAGCAGCCGGGGTGCGACGTTTAGGAAACGAAAACGTTCTCCTCTCCGTCAGCACACCTTTTCTTAATACATGCAAGTTTGCAACTATGTTGCATGTGCCCAAAGAGAGGCACCCCTTCCTCTCTAAGCAATGAGTACGCGCCCCGAGGGCACAAGCCCTTCCCTGAGCGTGGTCTTCCCAGTCACCGCAGTCCAAGCCCCAGCCTCTGGTGCCTGGGCCCCCCCACAGGCTCTTCCAGCCGCAGAGACTTGCCTTTCCCGTTCCTGGACCATCGGCCACAACTGCCTTCACCTTTCCACAAATGAACGTTTCACAGGAGTCTGCTCTCCATAGGGCAATCCCACGGGAGCCTCCCTGAGCGTTGTCTGCAGCCTTTCAATACAGTCCCGGACTTCCTTGTGCACCAATCCCGGCCCTTTCCCGCATACTTAGTACCTCCTGCCAGTCACAAGGGTCTCCTCCTTCCTCCCTTCGCTTTCCAGGCCCAGCCATAGTGCCCACGCCAGGTTTCACAGGTGAAACCCCATAATGGAATACTATTTGGCCATAAAAAGAAATGAAGTACTGACCCACGAAGGAACCAGAAAGATGAAACTTGAAAACACGATACTAAGTGAAAAGGAGCCAGTCAGGAAAGACCTCATACTGTATGATTTCATTTCCATGAACTGTCCAGAATAGGCAAACCCATAGACAGAAAGCAGACAGGTGATTGTCAGGGCCTGGGGGCGCTGCTTTTGGGAGTGATGGAACTAGATGGAGGTGGTGGGTACACAACACTGGGAATGTACTAAATGCCATTGAATTGTACCCTTTAAAATGGTTTAAAGTGGTAAGTTGTATGTTATGTGTATTTTACCGTGATAAAGATAAAAGAAAAACAAAACAAGAGTAATAACACAACAGAAGGGCTGGTATTCCTGCCAAAAGTACATAACCTTGATCTAATCACCAGAAAACATCAGGCGAACCCAAATTGAGAAATATTTCTTCCAAGTGATTGGCCAGTACTCATCAAAAGCGTCAAGGTCATGAAAGACAGAAAGTGAAGAACTGTCACAGATTGGACTACACGTAACATGGGATCCTGGTGTGCAAACTGTGACAGGAAAGAGCATTTGGGGGAATTCGAAGAGGTCGGCAGTTTAGTGAATAGTAGCCTTGAATAGTAGCCTCTCGTCGGTGTAAATTTCCTGAATTTATTAATGGACTATGATTACATACAACTTTGACATTCAGGGAAGCCTGCTGCACAGTGAAGGGGAATGCTCTGGTATTTTTGCAACTTTAAGCCTAAAACTGTTTCCAAACAAAAAGTTAGAAAAAGTTGTAAATAAAACCTTTACGGATCATCAGCTATGTGCTGAACAACTCTGATGTAGTCTGTTTTTTATAGACGGAGAAACCGACATGTACACTGCACAAGCCAGTAAGAAAGATAATAATAGTAAACTTACACTGACTGAACCTTTGTCGTAAGTGCCAGAAACCACTGGATGCTTTCACTTGTGACCTATTCGGTCCTTACCACAACCCTCTGAGGTACATGTGATTGCCCCTATTTTAGAGATGTGAAACTGGGGACTGACGCGTGATGTGCCCAAATCCACACAAAGTCTAGGGACAGAGCTCAGATTCAAAACCAGGTCTGACCCCAGAGGCCACGGTGCTCTGAAGCCTCGGCACCACCCACTCTAACCTTCATGGTGGCCCCTCACGTACCCCAGTGTCTCACACGCCAACCCACCAACCTGAGCCAGAAGCCTCTAGAGAAGCTGCTGACAATTTACATTCCCCCATTTAATGCAACCCTGCACTCCCCACTTGCTGGTTTCCTCTAATAATTGGAAAGATCTATCTGTGCTTTTCCTCTCCTCCCATAATCTTTCAGTCCACCCACCACTTGTAGTGACTTTGGCATTTGTAAATTAATTATTTATGTCAGATTTTTAGACATGAGCATGATTTTAGATCATACCGACCTCCTCCTTCTCTCCCATATGTCTCCTGGAAGCAGATGGACAGCATTCCCTGTTGATGAAGGCTGTAAACCGCCAGGTCCTCCTCAATCTCTAGGTTAGAGTGGAAGTCATTCCATAAACCCTTGGGATCAGGGATAATGTGCCCAGCGCTGTGCATAAGGTCCTGGGTGTCCAGTGACACACTCTCTGTGACTTCAAGAGGCTACTAGCTGGAAAAGATACTGGGGAAGGCGATGGGTTAAGAAAATGAAATCACCGTACGTGAGGGAGATTGCCACAAAAAGGTTAACTCCTTTCTCCTAATGCCAAGACCTGGAAGGGAGTCGCTGGCAAATCCTGCGTCCCTTCTCCTTAACCCTCCAAAATCATGGAGTTGCCTGATACTCAGCAGATATGGGACTGGTGCAACTGCTTTCTCCAACGATCCAACCAGATGGCTGCCAGATCTGTAAGGTTTTGTCTCCATCTGTGATGTGTGCAGAACTTCCACCCCAACACAGCATGAATCAGATAGGGTCTGCACAAACTTCACCAAAGTTTTCAGCAAGTGTTACCAGCCTCATCACATCACCCTCTCCCTCCCCGACACGCTAGTTCACCTGACCTGTGAGGGCTTCGGCTCCAAGCTATCAGAAGTCACAGAGGGTCATGGCATGACCGGCTTCGAGATAATGGAGGGAGCTCTGGCCATTCTCGTCAAGCAGGTCCCTGAGGTCTCAGCAGTGCCTGCGTTATTTCTGGCGGTGGGGTGGGCAATCATTGTGGAGAACCACCCACGGCAAGGGGGCGGTTTCCTGCTCTCATCCAATCAAGCTGCAGTGAGCAAGATTTGAGTCCTTCTTCTCTTGCCTGGTAAGGGTGAGTCTGTAGGAATAGAGCCGCATTCTTTTCCTCTCCATCCAGGAGCTGGTCACTGGTCTCAGGCAGCTGCCTCCACACTCGCAGAGAATCCAGTACTGAGGCAAAGTAAAAGAGGCTGATTAGGGAAGATCATCAAAATCCCTGGGAGGCTCTGCTACAACCCAGGAGTCTTTGATCTAGCCATTTATATAAATTCCAAATCCTGCCGTGCCTGGTGCACAGCTCGATAATATCTATTGAATGAATGCATATGGGAATTATAAGAGGCAAGATGTGTATGAAATACTTAAGCTCTTGGTTGCTTTTAATAATCAGAATAAGTAATATTCGATGTAATGCTTATGAGTGTATAGCTCTTTCCACCTACATACATAGTAGAGGTTCTGGCTTGGCCCTAAAGCTAAAATATGTGATGGACATATTTATGACCCCAAGGGGATGCCAGGGAGGACCAGTCCAGTGGCAATCATATTTTGAAGGAGGAGCTGGTTGGTTAACCCAGCAAGTTTGACTGAGACAGACGGTGGGGATTCTGAGTAAAGCATAGTGACTGTCCCTCAGATTTGCAACCTGGCCCAGCTCCTGCTGGACTGTTCCTCCCATCCCATTCCATAACAGGGAATCCATAATAGGGTCTTAGCAGATGTAATTACTGAAGATGAGGTCATTCTGGATTCAGACGGGCCCTAAATCCAGTGTCTGATGTCCTTCACGACAAAAGGGGACACGGAGACATGCAGGGAGAAGAAAGCCATGGTGAAGATGGAGGCAGGGAATGGAGAGATGTGCCCACAAGCCAGGGAATGCCAAGTGTTACCCAGAGGCAGAGAAGCTGGAAGAGGCAGGGAGGACCTGCCCCCAGTGCCTTCAGAGGGAGTCTGGCCTTGCTGACACCATAATTTCTGACTTCTGGCCTCCGGAACTGTAAGTAAATACACTTCCATTGTCTGAAACCACCACGTTTGTGGTCATTGTTGTGGCAGCCCCAGGAAACTCCCACGAACTGCTTCATCACAAACCACAAGCAAGGGTACAATTAACACTCCAGGTGACCCCTCTAACGGGGCAGACACAAAAGACGAAGGGCGGGGGGGCTCTCTCTCTGCTTCCCAGCAGACTAGAGTAAACCTTCAGCATCTCGAGAGCTGCAGGAGACCCCAAGGGCACGTAGAGGGGTGGAGGTCATCCCTGACCAGTGCAGGTGAGAAAGAGGATAAATCAGGTCACCTCTAGAGACGCCTGCAGAAACTTGGCTTACACAACACTGTGTCCATTTTACAGACCAGGAGCATGAGCCCAGAGATCACATTGCCCACAGTTGTGACGTCATCAAGCACCCTGTGGCTTCCAGTGTTGTGATGAGAGCTCAGATGCCTTCTGACTCTTGATCCTAAGTAGGAAAACTGTTTTCTCTCTGGAAGTTTCCCTGTAGTTCTCAAACTTCATCATGCTGGATCGTAGCATGAATCTGTGTTTATCCCTTGTGCCAGGCACCGGCTGGCCCCTTGCAATCGGAAGACTCATGTTGGTCGTTTCTGGGAAATTTTATGAAGTTGTGTCTTTGATGCTTTCTCTCTCTGTTTTCCCTGTTCTCTTTCTGCAATGCTTATTGTTGGAATGTTGGGCTTCCTGTCTGTTCCTCTTATTTTCTTATCTTTTCCATCTCTGTGACTTTCCTTTTT